GCCTGTGTCGTGACACCTAAGGCTCTCAGGAGGATGACACAAGATAATCCTTTCAAGTGCTCTGCAAAATGCCAGGCACACACAAAAGGCTGGTCAAGTGTCAGAAATTGTTATTTGTATCAGCAGTCACAAATGTGTGTTTAAAAAAAAAAGTGGGGGGGGTGAGGGGATTTGAGATCAATGAATATAGGGATAGTAGTATGTTTTCAGTCCTAAAATGTCCCAGCCATGAATTTAAATGATTAATCCCCCCACCCCTTTCAGAATCTCTCCCATTTTTCTCCTCGGACCAGTACAGACATCACTACATGACTCTCTTGCAGCCTGGTATTGTGGGAAGTCCAGAGAAGAGTCCTGGGGCGGGTGGCCGGGGGTAGGGTGAGTGGAATGCCCTGGAATGCCCAGACTGATGGAGGATGGTGAACCAGGCCCCCCAAATTTAACCTGGGGGCTGCCTTTGGCAGCTTTTGTGTTTCAGATGATCATAAATTATAGTCTATATGTTTGTCAAGGAAAAGTGAAAAATAAATACAAAGGGAGGGGGGGGGAATGAGAGAGCCAAAGAAGGGGGAAAAGGGCAAAGAAGTGGGGGGGGGGGAAGTGTTGTTTATAAAAGCCAGCTGCTCAGGCCTTGGCGCCAGCAGCCCCTCATCCTGCTATTTTACGCTTGCAACCCCACTGCCCCCACTGGCACAGGTACAACTAAATGTTGACTTCAATGCTTCAGAGAGCACTCGACTGATTTTGTACATGATTAATTGCCAAAGACATGGCTGGCCATATGGAACAGAGAAAGCATCAAGTAATTCATACTTCTGTATGTGATCGCTTGGCCCCTGTTGTTTTAATGTACAGGAAAGAGCTAGTATAGTACAGCCCTGGTGTCTTGCCCCTGACAGCCCATTAAGAAATCTCAAAGCACCTAGTCGAAGTTATGCTGCTGGCTTTTCAATAGCAGCCTAATAAAACAGAAGCAAAGCTTTCCAACTAGTCTTAAATCTTTCACATACAGTACATTAACTACCGCAGCTAAAACAACGGGCTTCTTATTATAGGAAATGGGATTTGATTTCTAGTTTCTGCATACTTACCCAAAGCCTTTTTTTTTTAACCTTTATAGGATTTACAAAAATCATTGTTCTTTTTCTCCCCATTTTCCAAGTAGCCAGATAGATTCTTTTGTTTCAGTCGCATCTACTCCTGGTCACTATTCCATGTAGTCTATATATACAACTGATTCATGGAGAGGTGAAAGAAACAGCATAGTTATTCTCCCCAAGAGAGCCCAGGAATCATTCTAACTTCTGAAGCATTAACTTTCTTTAAAAACAAACAAAAAATGAAATCTGTTCTCTAAGGGGAAAAGAAAAACCTCACAGACACACTTATCACCCTTACCTCCCTTTCCTATCACTCTGAACAAAATCTATTTGGTGTAAGAAAGAATACCCCCGTATTTTCCAATTAGTCTATAGTTGGCTCTGGGCGACATCACCAGGCAAAAGAGAAGATGCCCCCTCAAAATGTAGTTCCATACCACTCATGGTCCATTTGCTTCAACCTTACAGTTCGAGTTCTATAGAGAAACACACACACACACACACACACACACACACACACACACACACAAACACTCTTACTTTTCAAGCATTTTCAAATCACAGCACTCAAAACTATAATACCTGTAGTTCCTTTGTCAATTCCAGAATATCTTCATGGATATAAACATATATCCATGAAGAACTGGGATATTGGGATATCTTCAGGGGCGCTCTTCATTACATAAAATTCATTGAATGCTTTATGCCCGAGAATGTCTAGGTGTTGAAATTTTCCTTAAAATGGAAGAGAGCATGTATGGGAAATTCCACCTTACTGCTTATTCATTAGCAGGATGCAGTCTACTCTGAAATAAGCTAATAACCCATTAGAGTCTCAAGTCATGGGAAACTCCCTACCTCCAAACTTCTCTCCTTTCTTAGGATATTCTGGTGTTTTCCAGTGTGAGCAACTTAATAAATAATATCATGAAACAGAATCTTACAACAACTCCAAGAAGAATTAAAAAAAAGAAATAAAAGTGACTCAGTAACATGGCAATGAAGACACAAGACTTCCACAAAGAAAACAAAGTATGTTCACTGACGGTTACCTTATCGATATTTATCTTGTTTCATTATGGTTGGCACCGCAATTCCCACTTTGTGGGAGGGAAAATTATGACTGGGAAGGTGACATGCCCAAAGCAATGGACATCAGTGCAGAAACATTCTTCACATTTCTAGCTCATTCTTCATATTTCTAGTACACCATCTGCAATGAAAACTCTACCATTAAGTGTTGTGAACAACACTTTCAATGTCACATACAAAAATGTCATTTTATTAATAGTCTTCATTATACTGTATATAAAAATAAACCTACCATAGCTACAAAAGGGGTGGGGAGGGGGATGTTTTAAACTACAGCTACGGAACAGATAAGACCCGGATTCCGTCAAGAATGTGTGCGAATTCATTCACATAATGAATACTAGAATGATGGTCAACTTCTCTCCAACGACCTCCCTCGTGGCTTACCTTTTATCTTTTCACCAAAAAACATTCACTCTACCAATGGAAGCAAGAATTCTTCCAATCCCCCCCGCCCCCACACACACCACCACCACCACACCACCACAGACGTGCAACCCAGTTTCCCACCTGCCATGTCTAAGAATCTCTCCTTCTCTGATGTACACTTGGCCCTGGCTGTTAATCGAAGGTGAAGGACTGACTAGCTATCCCCAACACTAAATAACGGGGCCATGGATGATGTTTGTTCTCACCGTAGCTTTAGCAACTTCTGATCCTTGGGCAAGCGAAAAGTTACCCAAGATCGACATCAGATTGGCTCCCCCCTCTCCCCCACTCCCCCCCCCCCCCAAATAGCCAAGGCACAAAGGCTGAAGTGGTTTGTCATGCACACTGGATTATATGAAGTGTAAAACATTGGGGGCGAGGGGAAGGGGGTAGGGGTGAGGGGCTTTGAAAGGGAATGGGGGAAAATGAAATCACACTTGCCAGAGGATCCAGCTGACAGCTCAGTCCCTAACAAGTGAGACAAGTGAATATGTTTGGAAACACTGTGAATGCGGGCAGAGAGCAGGCCTTTTGTCTGCTGCCCTACAGTGTGTCTTTAACCCAACTGCTGCCTGCATCACTGAACATATGTTTTCTACACAAGAACTGAAGCAGAAAAGGCTCTTTGTTATAATTCACTCCTTTGTATATATCTGCTTCCCCCCTTCTGTTCACTCCCTCTTTCAGTCACATCCAAACCAAAGCCCTGGTGGAAATTGAACTGCTCGGGAGAGTGAAGCCCGAGTGCCCAGCTGAGACCCTTCGATTGATCCCAAGCCTCCCACACGCTGCTGCCCTCACAGTCGCAAGCGCCACGCGAGGCTCATTTATTGAGTGCTTACTAGGTGCCTGGCCTCGCCACAGACACTCCGTCAGCATGATCTCACTTTGACCCCGCACTGCCAGCTATGCGGCACTTCACTTTCAAAGAGGAGGAAACTGAGGCACGGGGTAGTAAACGACTCTCCAGAGTGGGAACAGAAGAGTTTAGACTTAGGCACTTGGAGACAGAAGCGCTTATGAGACACTTTGCAGATGGGTATGAAGATCATTTTTCTAGGATTTGAAGCACTGGATAAACTACACACACACACACACACACACACACACACACACACACACACACATACACACACACCATTCTCCTCTTTATCTGTTTTCATCGATATGTTTTTACTTTTTTGGTTTGGGGGCCAAACCCTGGAGTGCTCAGGACTTTCTCCTGGCTACACACTCAGGAATCATTCCTGGTGGGGTTCAGGGTACCATATGGGATGTTGGGGATCAAATTTTGGTCGGCTGCATGCAAAGCAAGTGTCTTACCCATTGTACTCTCTCTCCCGCCCTTGTTTCTTTTTGTTTGTTCTGGGCCACATCTGGCAGGGCTTTGAGCTTACTCCTGGCGCTGTGCTCAGAGATCTCTCCTGCCAGGGCTTGAAAGTCATATGTGGTGCCAGGGATGGACCTGAATCAGTTGTGTGCAAGGAGGCAAGTGTGCTACCCACTGTACTGCTGCTTCAGCTCCTCTGATCTATTTTTACAGCAGACTCCCCAGTCGTGTTGGAGGCATGGGGTTCACTTCCGGTAATGCCAGGGCTGGTGATGTGGACCCAATAACTCAATGCTTGGGCCAATGGTGTTCTGAGACCATTTGGGGTCAGGACTGAATTTTGACCCATCTATCTGGGTCAAAATTCTTCACTTTAAACCTCACCATAACTGAGGTGCAAACCAGAGAAATCAGAAAAATCAAACTGAAATCAGAATTCAAATTTAAGCAAAGCTGATGAAGCTGATTTCTCAAGTCTGTTGGAAGGGGAAAAAAACAATGATAGCTGGGGAGTCAAGAAGCCTCTTATGCCCTTGCAGGTCACTGCATGGGGAGGAAGAGCATGGAATATGGAATCCCACAGTTTCAGTGGCTGAGTTGCTATGGAGAGATGACTTATCTTCTTGGCACCTCAGTTTCCTCACCAGCACACTAAAGATTTATAGCACCTATTTCAGAGGGCTGGCAGGATTTAATTTTCAGGCGTAAGGCCCTGAGAATGGTACAAAGAGGATGTAGTCAGTGTGAATTTGGCCACCGTAGAACACCAGTCACTGTGAGCCACGGTGAAGCCATTAAGGAACACATTACGGTTTCTGTACTACAGATACCTATAATTCTTCTTCCCCTACCCAGTCCTAACTAGCACATCTCTAACATGGAGGCCTTGGATGATGATGATGACGATGATGATGATGACGATGATGATGATGATGATGATGATGATGACGACGACAATGACGATAGGACCAGGTAACAGCTAACATTACTGATCCCTTACAATAGGTCAGGTGGGGTAAGAACTGAATTCACATGATGATTACATCATTACTGCGTTGGAATGCTTCATGAATTTGTGTGTCACCCTCATGCAGGGACCATGCTCAGTCTTCTCTGTACCGTTCCATTTTAGGACACGTGTCCCCGAAGCAGGCATGGCAGTCATACTACCAAATCCACCAGGTAAGTCTTTGAGGTCAAAGTCTGATCACCCCTACTGTACGGTGATGAGATGTGCCAAACCTGACATCATCAGAGAGAGATGGAATGAAATCTAAGTCAGGCCAGGAAATGAAGCTAACACATATATACAGAACCAGACTTGGTCTTGATAGAACACTTTCCTCAATGATGCCTCCTTCAATCCTCCTATGTAAATAGCAAGTGAGTTAGGGGGATCCAGGGATGACTCTTGGAAAAAGTATCTGTTATGGCAGCACGAGGCCGCAAGCTCCCAGAGCCAGATGCCCCCTGTTCTGTGCTCTGCTGGTTTAGACCCCCAGAGTGGCATATGGGTATGCCTGTCTCTGCATTGCACAAACACTGCAACTAAAAGTGGCCACATGTACAGCCAAGTGTGTGACCCTTGGTAAGCACCACTGCTCAGTGTCAACTGCACTGTACTGGAGAGCATGTACTGGTGGTGAGAAACGTAGTTTGGGTTTGGGGTACAAGCAGTATAACTGGATGGGAGTCCAGCACCACAACCAAGCTTAAGTGGCAGCTCACAATCTCAATCACCATCACAATCACAACAAAGACAAGGGAGGGGAAAAGGATTGTGGGTATGAAGTGTGTGTGTATGGGGGGGGTGAGAATATGTGTGGCAGGTGGTGGTGGTGGGGGGGGCGTTACGAACCAAGTTACTGTGAATGAAGAATCTTGGGTACCATTCAACAAAATAAGCCATTCCAGGCCAAAAGGTAGTACAGAAATTATGCTGAAATTAGAAATCATGTGTTCTAACTTCAGGTCCAACACATTTTATCCCAAACACATGGAAATGAATATAGTGAAGGCAAATTCCTGAGTAATAAATCAATTAATTGAGTCTCTGCAATATGGTGGACATCCTTTACTGTCTCAATACCTACCTACTAAATAATCACAATTTAAGTAGTGTGTGTCTGCATATATAAATATATGTAAAGGTAAAGGTAAAGGTAAAGGCCCTCCCGTTGATCGTCGATTTGCTCGAGCGGACCCAGTAACGTCTCCATTGGAGACTTTGTTGTTACTGTGTCTGGCATATCGAATACTCTCGGTAGCTTGCCGGGCTCTCCGAGAGGGGCGGAGGAATCGAACTCGGGTCGGCCATGTTGGCCGCTTGTAAGGCGAACGCCCTACCCGCTGTGCTATATGTGCTTATATATACACACATACAAGCTGAAAGGGACTACGGAGATTGCATACAAACTGTTGGGTTCAATTAAGGTCTTGGAATTTATTCTGACTTACAAAATTCATTTCTAAAACACTCTAGGAGAAAGTTTGATCTATGGCCAATCATGACCTCAGTGCTCTCATTCAACACAGATCTGCTAAGGTCTGTTAGCCCTTTAGTTTTGAGGAAATGAAAACTAACATGTAGACCTAGAAGGACAAGGCATAATTAATATATTTCAACACCTACATCTGTCCACCCTCAACAAATGTGGTTCTTAAGATTCTGGAGGTCAGAGCCATGCCTTACTGTAATGAAGCAGCTCATGTTATTGACAATGTGACTATTAAAACTCTAAATGAAGGAACAATCTGGTAGGGAAAGATAATTCTGTGAAAATCACATGGGCAGAGTTGCTGCACTCTCCTTCGATAGTATCTACCCTAAGACAAATGCAGTCCCTGCCTGGGCTACTCTGTAAACAAAACTGTCGACAAAGCCTTCAATGTCAGCGCTACTTGCTATTTGGCACAGACCTACACAGAGGAGACAGACAGACAGACAGGCACGCAGACAGAACATTAGCAGATCCACACATACACACAGTTTTGAGACAGTTTTCAAATACGCTAATTTAAGTGCTTTTTAAATCTGCAATTTGGGTATACATTACTAATGTATTAGCAGCTCTTAAAAATACTTCCCAGTGGGGTACGGAAGATACAATCCCAAGTACATGAATAATAGAAAGATCTATCCCTAAAATGTTTATCATGTGTCAAATCTTGTCCGCCTTCACCTTTTACTAAATCCTTTTGGCAAATTTGGTACAATACTGTTTATTATTATCCCAATTCATAGATGAGAAAAATCAAAGCAGAACTGTATTAGGCAATTTGCCTCAGATCACACCTGGTAAATAAATGGTGGGGCCAGGATTCAAATCCAGGGAGGTTCAACCTCTTACTCACCAAGGTATCTGGAGACTAGACATAGCACTTTCTATGAGGCAGCAATGCCGCATCTCATTGCAGTCTGCCAAAAAATCTCTCCAGGTTAGTATCATTGACATTTTGCAAGTGTTTGATAATAACTGCCCAGGATCTCATTGCCAGTGGTTGGCAGAACTGGAGAGTAATCATTTCTTTATACTCTCGTATAATCATTTCACTAGCAAATGAGAGTTCAGAGATGTAGACACTCCACTTGTGGACAGAGCCGTGTCCACCCTCCAACTGTCTGGAGTCCCTCTTGGGGCTATGTCCCACGTGAACAGAGCAGCTGAGGTCAGAGAAAAGAGCCTCACTAGGCCACAGGTGAGCTTCAGAGTTTTCAAATGATTTTTTGTTGTTGTTGTTGTTCTTTGGGTCACACCCAGTGTTGCACAGGGGTTACTCCTGGCTCATGCACTCAGGAATTACTCCTGGAGGTGCTCAGGGGACCACATGGGATGCTGGGAATTAAACCTGGGGCGGCTGCATGCAAGGCAAATGCCCTACCTACTGTACTATAGCTCCAGTCTCTCCAATGATTTTTTTGAACTGGATCCACTTTGAACAGCTCAGAATTGTCCATGCAAAACTCAAGGTTGGAAACAACATCACTTAAGTACTTCTTTTCCCCACCATCTCTCACTTGTATGAATGCCCTATCAGAGAGAAATGTGACCATCAGATAAGGATGCTAACTTCGGTGTGCTGGTGTTACCCAGGTGGCGGCAAGATGGTCTGGGTTTGGCCAAAAATACTCTGTTCGTGTGCCTGGAGCCAGTGAAGGCAGGCCTTTAGGCCCAGCATAGTGGCTTCCACATCAGAAGTGGCTTCCTCTGGGTCAGGAATGGAACCAATGTTCACACGAGCACTTGGCGTCAGAGCACGGGTGAAGGAGCAGCTTTACATTTATCAGCATTTGTGTCTGAAGTTTATGGGAACAAGGGTTTTGACTCTTCGACTTCTCAGGAATTTATAAATGGAAATTACCGCAGCATCACATTCATGTCCTTAAATCATCCTGACTGTGACTCGGAATAAAAGAAACAATTAGGATGGCGCAAAGGGAACAGAGGGACTTGGCACGTGAATGGGCCATTTCGTACCTTCCTCGGGAGTGAGAATAGGAATTTGTTCAGTAGTCTGCCTTGGCCCTGTAATTCATCTTTTAATGTCCCCCACTGAGGGTGCTTTTGGCTCTGGCGTTATAAACTACATTTCATTCATTTGTAAGGGAAAGAAAGCAATTATTTCAACCTCCATTATCGATGCCTTGAAAAAGCTAGATGCCCTGCACGACGCGCCTTGATAGGCACAGACACAGAGCTGTGCAGAGCGAGGCGAACCTGAGCTTTGCAAAGGTAACGGTGGTGGTCGCTACAAACTTCTGTCTTCAGCTACACAATCAGAAGCCTGCAACTACGACTGCTGTTGGCATGAATTCCTAATTAACTCTAACTTGCCACATTCAGAACCGTTTTATGCTTTGATAAGCAGATATTATTGGCTCATCTTATAGAGATAATTGCCTCTTCTGCCTTGTTTAGTGGTTATACATTCCATACTCGAAGATTAAACCCTTGTAAAAAACCACTGATGGGCACAGTCCTTTCATGCCGAAATTGTCTCCGTGAGACTGAGCAGGAACACTTTAACTTTGGGGGTTTAGACAATGGGTACTCTGAAAGGATGAGAAAAATGGGCAACAACTGCACCTCCTCCTCCCTCCGGTGTTCAAGTCTCCCACCTGCTGTGGTATTTTTGTTTCAGTAACAAAGAAGCCTTCATGTTCCAGGCTCATATTCGCTGAACTGGCCCCGTTGGGCGTTGGTTAACTCTTAAGGAACGGAAGACGAAATATTTCCTGCCGGACAAATCAACGACACTGTTATACTTGACTTGGTTTTTGATTGAGCCACACAAATGCATGCGTGCATCGATGAACACGTGCACCTCACCTCTGCCTGCTCACCTTCATTTGGATGCCATCCCAGGTGCAGGGAACGCTCTGTTCATATTTAATAAAATATTACAAGTCACTGGGAGCCGTATAACATTTGTGATTTCATGGCTTGCTACAGTAACAGGTGCTGGAGTAAACCGGAATGCAAAGTGTTAAAAGGACAGGGTTGGTTGGGGTGGTGGTGGTGGTGGGGGGGACGGTCGGAGGGGGGTGGGCATCACTTCAGAGACATTAAGCAGCTTTAAACACTGACAGCAGAAAGGGAGAATTTTTAAGCAATTTGGTCGGGTCAGTAAAAAGTAGCACAGGTCAAAGGAACAAAATGGTACCCAAAATTTCTGCCTATTGATAAATGGGAATAGTGCCTTGTGGTTGGGTGCACAGGCAAAGGCTAAGCAACTGTTGGATGGAAACAAAAATATGCTCCCTTTGTGGCACTCTGACAATAAGTTACTTCAGCTTGGTGAACGCCTGAGGCCCCCATTCTCCCTGTATATGCGGCTGGGGTATACATTAATGAAAACAAAAGGGTCCATTTTCATTGTAACCATGCAGAAGGGTTAAGCATTTGACCTTCAAGTATGGTGTACTTGTGCTCCGTGGAAAGGTTCTTGACAATATAAACAAGAATTACTGCTGTTAGAGAAAGGGGACACAATTAAAAACAATCTCAGATGCTTGTTGTACAGCTGTTCAAGTTTCAGCTCTGTCTGACCTCTAAGGATGCTACATGTTTAACGGAGACAATTTAAGATATTTTAGTGAGTCCCTAACCATTCGCCGTTGTGCTCCTTCCACTTGGGAATACCTAGCCTGAAAC